CCCCTCTCTCTCTATATATATATATATATATATATATATATATATATTGTGTGAGTGTAGGAAACAAATCATAATTGTTCCCCAATGGAACTGTAACATAGATCATATACATATATACATAACTACAATAAAATCCAAATGGAAAACATAAAATCTTACTTGTCGGTTAAGCAACAACTATAGAAAATAGTTACACTGAGGTAACTCAAGCAACATTGTTATCCTCCAACATGGCTCCAAAAAGTTTCTCATCCTCTTGCCTAATCTTGTTTGCTTTCATAAGGTTATAACAAGTATGATCATCGCAATTCAGTCATCATGCAAGGGTGAACTAACATAAAACCATAACAAGAATAAGAGTAAAGTATAAGTATACTACCAATTTACAACTTTAACATACCAATACAACATCACTTCAACTTACAACACAAATACAACAAATTAACATATCAACTTAATTTGTGAAAGCTACAACTATTCAACACAACAAATGATCAACAATATAGTTCACAACACCACAACTTAAGCAACATTTCCACATATCAACACATATAAATTTCACAATCTATCAACACAACAGCACAATGTGTCATCATACATCTCAACTAAGAGATCTCTTACTACATAGATGATCAGTCTAAGTGATTTAACCCTACCAAATCAACTTCACAACACGACATTTTTGGGCTTGCTAGATCACCAACAAATTTGCATAAAAATCCAGAACACAACATGGCTTCTCAGATTTCACAACTTAAACCAAGAAAGTTCAGTATTCTTGTCAAAATTAGGATAGCTTAAGTGTGAATCTACCAGCGTGAATGAGGCAAAGAGTCCATGTGTCAATCATGCTTGATGTGGTCAAACTCATGTCCAACTTTGTTCAGGCATAGAGTCTCTACTTGAGTCATGCTTGGCATCACAACACTAGCACCCAACGTCGTCTAAATAGAGAGTTTCTATCTTGATCATGCCCAATGCTACTCAATTAGGGTTCAACATCACCAAGTCAAAATGCTCTAAGGGCATCCACGCTTAATGTCTTTTAACCCATGTTTGACGTGATCAAGTCATAGAGTTTTCTTCTAACTCATACCTAACACTACCAATATTGTGGCTAACATTAGTAAGGTAGAGAGCCTATGATCTGCATCATGCATCGATGCCATGAAATTGCGTTTGACACAATGATGAATTCTACACTTAATAGATTTATGTTTTTGCTCAATCCACTTAAAACTCATAAGATTTTCAACATGCAACTTAGGAAAAATAGGTATGTACACTTTGAACAAGCCAATTTCAACATCAAAATACAAATAAAACCATTAATCTCTCATATCATCAATCTTTACCAAACATATATCAA